CTATCCTTCGGGTGCGCAATGAGTAAGCTCTCGGGATGACGCAATAGCCTGCAAACCACGCCAACCAAGTAAACCACACTAGGTAAGTCCTGCGCGACAGACTCGACCGAGAAAGTGTTGGTAGGAGGAATCGAACTCGTGATCAAAGACCTCCGTGCTCACCTACTCTACCAACTCTGCCACCCCCACGAGGGGCGGCTGGCAGAACCTTTAATTTTATGGACGGATGGTAAGAGAATGATTTAATTGAAACGAAAAGAGAACTTCAGTGATCAAACTTAAGCAACATAAACCTCACTAAAGGTTGAGAGACTAATAGTGTTTTTACCTGTGCCCAACACTAGAGCACTTTAAGAAAGGATACTACCAGGCTTGACTTTCTACTTTCCAGTATAAAGCTTATCAGGTTAAAAAAACTAGGGTCACTAAACTTATAGAGAAATTTATGTTGATCATCAAACTTCATATTGTTTCAACTTGGTCACTGAAATTAAACTTTGTTTCAAGTTGATTAGTCAACTTAAACGTTTGTTTCAAGTGGGGCACTCCGTCTATATCTGTTAGTTCTAACAGAAAAACTGACACGGTAGCCTGGTTGGCATTTATGATGTACCTGCCATGTCACCTTTTTCACCCCTGCTATATCAGCTGCAGCTGAAGGAAGAACCAGTCAAACTAACCGATATAATGTGATTGACCAAATTGTAACAAAGTATTAAGTTCAATGATCAACGTAACATAATGAAGTTTATAAGCTAAAATGAAAATTTGGTAAATGTTTAGGGACCACATTCTACCATCATTATCTAGTGGTCAGGTGCATGAGTAAACATGAACAAGAAGTATAGGACCCAGAAAACACGCTGAACATAACATTGTAAACTGCAGAACTTTTGAACAAGAATAAGAGATCATTAAGGGTTTAAATAAAGAACTTAAATATTTACCTCCGTTCGCCCAGTCATAATGGGCTTCCTAGCAAATAGCTCGGCTAAAATGCACCCGGCACTCCACAAGTCCACACCTACACCATAGTCAGTGGCCCCAAGAAGCAGCTCCGGTGGCCTATACCAAAGAGTAACCACCCGACTAGTCATGGGCTGCTTATTGTTCGGGTCAAAAGTCGAAGCCAACCCAAAATCAGCAATCTTAAGAACTCCGCCACTATCAATAAGGAGATTCGATCCCTTAATATCACGATGTAACACATGGCGGTTGTGGCAGTGTTCAAGACCAGACAATAGCTGATGCATGAAACATTTAACCTATAATATTCAAAAAGAAATGCCAAAATAAGCAAACAACTCCAAACTCTTCAAGTGAATAGCTTTGGAATCAGAGAAAAATTCAAAAAGAAAAGAGGACCTGAGGCTCTGTAAACTTGATTGCAGGGCTAGAAGCAAGGCCAGCCAAATCATGGTCCATGTAATCAAACACAAGGTACAAACTACATGACATCCTCGATGTCACTAATCCTTGCAATTTGACAACATTCGGATGATCCAAGCGACGCAAGATCAATATCTCCCTGGCCATAAATCTCACGCTCTCGGGCTCCAAATTATCGAATCTAACCTTCTTCAAGGCAACAATCTTCCCCGTTACAGCATCTCTAGCTTTATACACATTACTATAAGTCCCTTGTCCAATCTAATCAAAATTGCCACAAAAGAACATACAGAAACAAAAAATAAGATTCGAATCTACGAAAGATAGAAAAATTGAGAAAAAAACTAGAGACCACTTGCCTTGTCAATTTTTTCAAATGTATCTGCACGACGTGGGGTCCAGCCATTGATAGCCTCTCCGGCTACTGCAGACAGCCAAGCTGGCCATCCTGCAGCCACTTGCTCGCCATGGATGTTGTTAGGAGGATTACTCAGCTTCGGATTCGGCTTAGACCTTCTCCTCTCTCCTCCTCGAGGCCGTGCAGTCCCATCCTTCTGCTCCTCCTTCTGATCCCCACCATTCTGAACTACACTAGCGCCGCCGCTATCCGCCTTACTCTCAGAAGCGACTACTTTCTCTCTTCTCGACGTAGGCACGGCCGACTCTCTCTCCTCTCTCTTTTCCCTCCCTTTCCCAGCTACAAACTCGCCGCTATGGGGCCCAGATGATGAGATCTCTCTCCCAAAAACACACCCCATCTCTCAAAACACACAACTTCATTTCTCACAGTATAACATACTATTTCTTATCATTCAAAACCCAACAAAATATCACCAATCTGAGAAGTAAATAAACAAATCCGCAGTTAAAGAACCCAAAATCACACTCCCAAATCAAATAGACCAAATGGGCTTTGCTTAAACCAACGGATATCCACAAATGCAGTAGAAAATTCAACACTAATGCACAAATAAAGCTATTCGACCAAACAAAAAATTGAAAAACAAAATGGGTTGTGATTGGAAAGCAAATAGATTAAAATAAACAGTATATTTAATAATGGGTTTAACTAATAATAGGGTAAAAATAAGAATAATGTGGTATAATCGAAGACCCCTATAGCTTTAATGACCACGAAAGTTAAAAGCAACAATGATTGAAGCCCACAATTTTGGCGGTCAAATTGAGCTAAAACTATGAAAAAGCAAAGGAATTGAATATATTGATTAGCTTTATTCACAGCTTCTCTTTCTTTTTTTCTTTTTATGATTGAAATTCAGAAATTAAAAATCCCAAAGCTGATTTTCAAATTGTCACTTAAAGAAATAAAAATCTCAGTTAGATCAAATAGATCTGTGTAAGTTTGACTCTCTGCGTGTGTGCTATACATAGAGACAAAACTACTGTGAATTTTCAAATATTAAATAAATTAATATATTCATACTTTTCCATTTTCTAAATTATAAAAATTTTCCATAAAAGTTAAAATATACATTTTTCATTTTACTAGTTTTGTCTTACTTTACTACTTGGAATTATTTTTTCCTTATTTTTTTTTAAATTTCAGAAACAGTGATTTTTTTTTTTTTTTTTGCTAAGAAAGTAATTTATTTCTTCCCACTTGGTCAAATTTGACATTTTAAGGCCTATGGTGGTGGGTTTTTTTTTTTTTTTTTTTTTTTTTATATATTTCCTATTGTTCGGGTCATGGAAATGTATGCATTTTTTTGGCTTCTTTTTTATGAGGATATTGTTTTCAATATGCATACTCTTAGTTATGTTTCCAATTTTATTGAGTTGATTTTTGTGGTTTCTTTCGTTCAACAATACAATGAGTAAGCAATATTGGACGCCTACATTTGCACAACTTCAAATTCTTGAATCTATATTTTATCAAGAGAATAAAACCCCAAACAAGTCAAGGATCATGCAGATAGTCTCCGAACTATCGTTGCACGGGCAAATCTCTGATATGAATGTTTATAATTGGTTTAAGAGTAGACGTGCTCGTTTAAGAAGGCTGGACTTATCTACACAAGCACGCGATTCTGAACTTGTAATTGAGCCAATGGTACAAAAAGACAAATTGGGTAAGAGACATATATGTATGATTTGTTGTTTAAATGTGATTTCTTGTTGGTTTAATGTTTTTTACGTAATTTTAACATAAATATTTGGTATTATAGAAGTATCTACAAGTTCTACACATATGCCAGGAAGAAGGAAGAGATGTTGTCCTAAATTCACAGCAGGTTTCGTACATTGAATATATTTTTTTATAAATTTTTTTTGCATCCGGCTATTTATTTGGTCATGTTGTAGTACACTTCCTTTCATCTTGTTTTTGTGAAATTATTTTTTAATCCAATTTTTGCACTTCTGTTGTCTTTCAGCGATCTTATACTAATTTTATGATTGTAGATTCTA